TTCTCATGGGCTTGGAAAAAGCAAGCATTTGTTTTATAATCTAAGGGTTACATATGTGCATTCATTATGAATACCGGTATTTAGATTATCTGTGGTTATATATAGATAAACAACTTTCAAAAGTAAAAAACTTTCTTTCATAAAGTGCGAACATTTCTTATGATAATAAACTCCCCTCTTACTGCCCTTGTTACCAAACCTTCGAACAGTGGATATAATACTGGGTTACATGGGGGAGATACTAGTTGGTCAGTAGTTTTAATAAAGGTGGAAACTAAGTTCACTGTAGTGCAATGACATTTGTATTTGGTTAAATTTAATTGTTTTCTGTCAATACTGCTTCTTTCATTGTCCTTCCATTCCCAGATTTTCCTTTTTTCTTTTCACCTTATTGCTTCAACATCTATTACTTGAAGCCCATCTAATCACTCAACTATTCCATAAGCTATTGTTAGTGTTGGTGCCACCTACAAACTTCCTGAATTTAAGAGAGTGAAAGAAACTGTCTTCCCTCCCCTCACCCTGGCTTGTATTCATGACCCAGAAACTTATATTTTTTACTTGTTTTTAGGTACACTAGAAGGCCTTGAGAAACATCAGCCTTCTCTCAGGCAACAATTACCATGGTGTTTGCTTGCAATGACTCTTCCCTATTGTGAGGAGAATTTCTTTAGAACAACTGAACACTGAGTCATAGTTTGAAAAACAAAAAGTAATGTGAGTAAACACTTGTTATCTTAATTTCTGTAATAGTAGAAGCGATTTATAAATATTTTATGAAGTGAGACTAATTACATAAAGGGACTTTTGAGTGGTTTTCAAGCATAAAATGATGACTGTCCAACAGGAAAGGAACATTCCAATATGTTGGGGTCAGAAGTCAATGGCTGAAGAAGCAACATATGATATATAAGTCAGTTTCCTGACAAGGTGAATAGCATAACTGTCAAAAGGTTATTTTTCAATTTAAAAACCTTAATCTTTTTCCATCGAAATATGTTCTATGCTGTAATACTACATAATATTTCATTTGGGGTATTTATATTTAAATTTATAGTTTAACATAAGTAATTGGACTGTAAATGCTTTGGACTGGATGAGACATTGTTAGTAAAATCAGCTCATGTTTTTTGAGCCCAGTGTCTTTGGAAACCTAAAGGAGCAGAAACAAACAATATGCATAATAAATTCTGATAACACTCCAGGACATAACCAAACAATAGGCAGTGAAAAGCTTAGTAACTGATTTCTGCATCTATTTAGTGTAAAAGGAGGTAAGAGAGCTGAAGCTGACTTGTGGCCTAGTAGCTATACTTTAGTGTTTAGATACCTTCAGTAAAATTAGGCTGCTAAAGTTCCTAAGGATGAGCACAAGAGCATTTTTTTCCCCATACGTTTTTTAACTTAAAAATGAGCAACATCTTATACATCCTTCTGAAGCCCCCTCTTTTTCTTGCCCAAGATACTCGTATCTCCTACTGTGACTAAGTTCTTGATTATAATTAATGTTACTGTTGAATAGTCTTGACGGTTACCCCTACATTCCATTTTTTTTTCTGGAAACAGCCAGATAATCAGCAATGAAGAGATTGCGTGAGGAAGAAGTCTGTAGTAAGATGGGGGCAATTAATGAGGTTTTAGATCACACTTTCCATATAAAAGAACACTTTCTTTTTGTTAACCAGTATAAGCTTTCATGCCAGGAATATCTTAGGACAATAAATGTCACAGATTAATTCTGTAATATGTGAGAAGGCACTTCTGAAGGTACATTTCTCAAAACATAAGAGGCTTTGCTGGCCTAGAGTGGAAGTAATCAATGAGTTCTTTCTGTTCTATTTTAATGTAACTAGATTTCCAGGTCTTCTTAGGAAACTTTCTGCTGACTAACAGGTGAATTTCGCAATCCTGAACTAATACAAGGCTTGTTCCAAAGACATATATTAATATATATAACTGTGTTAATATATGTAACTCAGATAATTTCAATAGCATTCATTTATTTTAATTAATTGGCAATCTTAATATATGTGATATTGTTAGGATTGACATGTGAGGCCAATGAAGCTGAATAGACTGTGGTAATTTTAAAGCACTGACATGTTTTATTACAGCACTCTGGCATTAATTCATTGGCAAAGATGCTTTCTGTGTTGAAATTCTATACAAATTACATGCAAAACATAGTCCTTTCATATGTCAATATGCTGCCTATGGCTGTAATTATAGCAATGTGCACACATCACATTAATAACATGGAGGAAATCTGCAGTACCACAGGATTCTCTTCTATTTGCCATAATTGCTGCGATTAGTAAAAGGGCACCGCATTTGCTTAGTCCATCAAAACGAGTTATATAGTATTTAAGGAATAAGAGTTATATAGCTGCATTTCTCAGTAAGCTGCAGGGTTCTTGCTAAAATGATACCTATATCCTCTCCCATTCTGCTGTACAAATAAAATTAAGCCGTTTGTCAGGTTGGTAGAGCTCATAGGAATGTCCTTGTCATCTTAGAGCGAGTTCTCTATAGAGTTTTCCTATTCCGACATAATTTACTCACTGATCCTTTGAAAACCAGTAAATTGCAGGCTGCAGTTATTCATGGCATTTGTGAATGGGCAACTTGCTTTTGTTCTCACAGCAGGTGCATAGGTGGGAGAAACAACAAGATAAGCTGCAGTAAGTCTTACTGGTTGACTTAAAATTAAAACCAAATAAATAAATTAAAATCCTGTAACCAAAGAGGGTTTGCTGCATGTGCTTATCATGTTCTGTGTCTGGTTATGCCATTTGGAAATTGCCTTCACTCTGATTCACTAAGAATGGAAGTTAGGATATTACTACCTGAGCTTTCTAAGTCATAAAAGATTGCATTTGTGTGTGGAAAAAATTTGGTATGCAGTTGTCTGAGATCACGAATCCAATCATGAAATGAAAATAAGAGTTTTGAGAAGTTCCCATTTTTATCACTCTTCTTTTTATCTTATTTCTTCTGTTACTTATTTTCCTGGGACATGTACCTATGCCTATCAGCAATCAGTTACTCTCTTGCAAGTATCCCTCCATGGTAACTGTTCAAACTGATTAAAAATGATTGATTATCTCTGCAAATTCTTGAGCTCAGATCCTTGCTTGATCTGCCAAGGTCCTTAACTAAGTGTAGAATGGAATAAAAAAAAAAAATCATTTGCTTTTTAATCAGGAAGTTCATCGTGCCTCTGGTTTTGCTATATACAGTCTGTCATCACGTTAGAATGGTAAGCTACTTCAATTTGAGTTACCCAGTTCTCCTATTCCTCTGAGGGCTCTTTTTTCCGTGCATATTATCATTCTACAGTAAGCAGAGAGTCACTGGATTACGAGCATTTTGCATGGACTTTTTTCCCCTTTATTAAAAATCACCAAAAGACATGCAATCGAGTTTGAGCCAAAATGGCAGAGACTTATAACACATGAGAGAACAATAATAGTGATAGGTACTTCGGGAGGTTTTAAGACATTAAACTGTACCAGTGATTTCTTTCTCTCTGTATATCTCAGCAAACTTCTAATAGGCATCTAACTACAAAGATCTGTTATCACTGTCCCATTTTATCCGTTGGCACAGCATCAGGATGGGAAGGTAGTAGGGGAATAATGCTACTTACTACAGAAGGGTTTGAAAGAAGGACTTAGCAATTGATGCTAGCTTCAAAAGTAGTAATCCAAGTGCTGTGTAGACAGAAAAATTCTTTGATGACAGCGGCATGACTGAAAGCACAGGTAGTGCTACGGTGTCAGGGGTAAAAGCAGCGGTTGAGGCTTGAGTCCCCATCACTGATTTTGCCACCACTGAGAAACTCATTTACAAGCCAGAGTAGGTTTGCAACACTTAGTCTTAAGAGGGGAACTGATTCTCCTTTGAAATCAGCCATAGTACCCTGTGCCAATTATTATCTGTTGCTTTTTAATACACTGAATGTTTCCTTTTGTTACCATCACTCTGTAATATAAATGGTAATATAAGATATAGCCAGTATTATGTAAGTCTTCTCTCAGCAGCTTTTAATAGTTATAAATCATTGAATGTGTTTTTAAATGTTAGCTTCTCTCAACAAATTGAAACAATTCACCCTCTGTTTGTACACATTAATTAGATAGAATGAATTCTTAGTTTCAATTTGTAATTATATACAAAACACCAAATTATATACAGATAAACCTGTTCTGTGTTTGTTTGGAGATTGAGCAATCCCCAGAATTAAATGCTGGAAGCTATTCCCTCATTATCTGAGGAATTATTTTTATTAGTGGAACAAATCTGGACGTAGTTAGCTTTGTTTCACAGAGCAAATTATATAAAAGCTAGAGCAGATGCCTATTATCATGTGTTTCTGCTTTTCAGTCATTCATATAAAAATAAATTTTTGAGATGAAAATTCCTGTAATTCTTGTTTGCATAAAGTTGCATATTTGGCAACGTTTGATAAATATGTTTTGTAATTTGTGAAGTAAAATGAAAGGTATTTTGGTACAAATCGGAGGGGGTTTTTTTTGTACTTGAGTATCTAATACTAGGACTGATCTGAGCTATCTCAGCTTTTTTAATTGGTGCAAATGTGGCACAGAGTAAGTGGGGATGAAAGAGCCTCTTCTCTATGGACAGTGTTTCCCAAAGAAAAATACCATTTTTCTATGGAGCTGCTTGAAAAGATTTCTATTTCTATTCTGTTCTCATATTTGCAAAAAGAAGTAATGTTTCAGTGAAAAAAAGAAATTCAGATTTGTTTAAAATTGCTCGGATAATGTAGTAATGTAGAGAACAGTTAGAATGCTTGCATGTATTATCCATCGTAATGAAATGCATTCTTCAGTAGTTTTTATACATCTTGCACTGCTAAAATAAAGTAGAAACTGTTTACATAAAATGATAACTACTAAAATATGTGAAATACGTTCAATAACGTGATGCTTAGAACTTGCCAAGAAGAACATGTACTAATTCCTATCCACCTCCATTGTTACCTTAAGAGCAGCTCTCTCCATAGCAACTGAAAACTTTGCAAGGCAGCAATAAACTAATCCTCTCCAGCTTCCAGAGCACCATCAAGGAATTTTAAAAACATTGGACTTCCAGCAGCTAAATACTTCTGAGGATTCAGAAGGCCACAAAGCTAGATACACAAGCATTCTTTTTCCCTTCAGAAGGTAAGAAAATAACGTTTAGAAATAAGTGCAACCTCATAACGATACATATTCCTAACTGCTAACAGTAAAATATAACTAAACACCAAAAGATTTCCTAACATCTAAAAACATCCTAACCTTTATCTGAGTGAATGCCAATTTGAATTCAGCAGTTCTTTTTTCATTTTAAATATTTCTTAGCAGAGTTTCCTTAAAAATAAGACACACACGTTATCATATTGCAGTTAAAAGAAGCTGAACTTACGTGTGGCTGTTTAACATATGTGCATTATCATCTGAAAATGTATGTCACTGCCAGCATCTGCCCATCAACAAAACGACAACCTCTTTGTGGAAAACAGAAGTGAACCTCTGTAATGTTTCTTGTGCTTTGATACTGAGATAGATTATTGTTAAAACAGAGGCAATGGTACATTAGGAAGGATAGTGACACGGTAGATTTACAGTACAAAATGTCTTTTGCATCTAGAGTTAACAAGTTAAACTTGTTGCTTCTGGTGTGTTTGTCTTGTTTATTCATTGAGTTCTATGAATGAAATTATGACCTCAGTTTTGTAATTCTTTCATCTGCTCATAAAATATCACTAATTTTTAAGTACATCCTGTTCATTCTTGTTTTGTGTTGTATAGGTGGAGTTTGGTAATGTTGGTAAAGTGTTTTGAAAATAAAACCTGCTCTATATCATTGCTGTGTAACATAATTACTGCACATTCATATCAGAATTAGGCTAGTAATCTTTATTTAGAGCTATTTTTACTACTAAAAACCTGTTTCATAATGGAATGAAAGTGAAAGCTATGGTATTTTCCTGTTCTTACTGAAGAGGATTATTAGTGAATGCAATAACATAACACTGAAATGAAAACCGTACACTTTTATGAAGAGAGAAGGGCACTTTGAGTCAACCTCTTGTTGGTAATTCTACAGAAGTTTTAAGGCCCTGGTTGTCTTAGTTTCCTGCTGTTCTGGGCTCTAAAGCCCTTACAGGCTCCCTGTTGTTCGAAAACAGCTTGTCACTGCAAATCAGCTTAGCCGACCAATTAATAAATCCTTTCAAACATATTGCATTCACACTAATTAAAGGGTTGGGGGTTTTTTCCCCTTTACCATTCAGATTCTTCAGGTTTCGAGTTTAAGCTGTGAAGTGCGAACAACAATCCAACATTCAGTGCAGATCACGCACTGCAGGAAGAGGAGATGTGTTTTCTGACCAAGCATCCAGCCCTTGGGGTGGTATGTTCTGCTTTCATATTCAGCGTGCTCATTGCTGAAGGACAGCCTGGGGAAGAGCATGGGCAGGATGGCAGCTATGCTCCCAGCCGAGGCTATCTGATGGAAGTTTTACGCGTTCTTTCAGCTGACAACACTGAGCTCCACATGAACCACTCACGAGAACTGGTCAAAATGTTACTGGAGAGAGCTGAGTGCCCACAACGGATTTATGGCATGCAAGAGGATTGTAATCTGGTTAGTGCTTCAATTAATGAGGGATATCTTTACAGAATCATCAGTGAGTTCTAAAATTATTTATTTTAGAGTGATACTGTCCTGAATGCAAAATCTAAATATGTAAAGGGCTTGTTGTTGCAGCAAAAAGTTGTCCCTGTTTTAATCGTTTCATTCTGAATTGTTAATATTTATTGTTTGAGCTCATGAATGATATTCCAAACATGACAGGCATTCCTTAAAAACTCCACGCTTCAGTCACATAACACTAATAATTTTCCTTTAAAAGTTGTCAAGTGTTTATTTTCCAACAAAGATTTTTCTACTTTACCCTGATCTAACTATAAAAGCATGAGCTTGAATTTGGGACGCAGAGGATTTCCACTGTGGAAAGACATAGGTAAAAATTGGGGACTGGTTCTGACACTTTTTTTTTGTTCTCAATTTTACTTCATAAAAATAAAACCCAGACAGATTTGTCTCAGATTTATGTTCCCCTTCACTGAAATACTCAAGATTTAGGGGAGGGTTTTGGTAAGCAGTTCAGGTCATGGAAAATCAAAGGCAGAACAATGAATCTACAAATCCAACTTGGAACTGGAAATAGTCCAGGGTACAGCTTCATAGAAGGTTTTGTTGTCTAGCTGAGTGAGAATATTTTCAGAACTGATTATGGATTTGAGAAAGAAAGGAACAAGTGTAATAAGATCGTAGGTTCTGGTAGGACAGAGACAGTGGTAAGTGAGCAACTTAGCTGAAAGGGACTGCAAAGAGCTTGGTCAATCTTGGCTTTGATTAGCGTTACTCTAGCTCTGGCATTGTTCAGTGACCTACATACAGCAGAGTGTCACTTTTTATCAGAATTATGATAAAGATGAATGCTTTCAGAATATACTCTTCTTGGCAATGTGCCAAGCCAATAAAATGGAGATTTTTCTCCTGTGCAGTAGACAACTGCTCACTTAATTGGCCGTTTCTGCAAATGCTCCCATGTTTCATATTAGCCCCAATGTGAAATTTCATACATAAGTAATGTAGGTGCCTGTTACTCCCTAAATGGATAATTTTTATGAAGGAGATTGTGCAGTTTTTCTCTTCGCACATATGGACAATGGATATGTAGCAGATATGGACCCAGATCAAAAGCTGAGAATGTATTAAACAGTAATGGGTATAGAGTTCTCCTAAACTTCACAAAACAGCGGTCTAAGCCTTCTTGTTCTCTCGCTTTGTTTTGCTTCTCTGGATTGCCATATTTTTTCTTGTATTTGTGATGTATTTGCGGACAGCATGCCCACTGTGTCCTTGGATGGAAGAAATTTAAGTGAAACTTAGCTGGGGCTTACTTTGGTCATGACTTCCACTCTGTTTAGGCTTCATCTTGGAAATTTCCTGTGGGAAGAATTTGAGGACTTTCACCATTTCCAGTAATTCTCAGTGTTGGCTGTGTCAATAACACTGCACACATCCTGCACTGCCAGTGCCACGTGACCACAGTTGTCTATAGAAAATCCATGAGAAAGAGACAGCATTTTCAGTCACATAGAGCCCACATGGCACCATGCTGAAATCTTCCAAGATGATTTAACAAGATTTGGCAAACCGAGATAGCAAAAACTGTGCGAGAAGCACTATTCTTCAAGATCATGAAAATTTGAAACAGAATGCTCCACCTTAGCTTGGCATTTTCTTTCCCATACTTCTTGGGAATAACTAATTGATTTCAGACTCAACTTTCCCTTCTAAATCCAGGATTCCAGTCATACCACATGACTTTGTTTTCAGATTTTTTTCTTTCATTTTTAATGATGTCTCCAATGGGTATTTAAAAGCACTGAAGTTTAACACTTTTTTAGACCCTTTTTTGGTTTGTTGTTACATATTGGCCCCAAGACTCTTTGGGCAGGGGCTGGGAGCTGTTGAATGGCATCTGACACTTCTTTATCTCCTAAGCACACAAAAGTCATATATTTCTTGCAGAATTTTTTCTAACTTCTGGTCTATTAAACAAAACAAACTCAGGGTTCTGTGCCCAGGTTCAAAGTTGGCCTCTTTTTTATATCAAATAAGCATTTCTAAACCAAGGCCATAAAGATGGTTATGCCTGTAAAATATTAGTAACAGCAAAATAATCAGTGATGAACCAATTTATATCCTCTTGATATCTCCTCAAAGGTCACTCTCTATGAGCTGCCCATATACTATGGAGTAGCTGCATCTTTTACAACACACCTGCTTCCTTCCAATTAGCAATTTCCTTCTCAGTCATCTTCCTTGCAAGAGCAAGTGCTTGCAAGAGCCCCACTGATTACAATTTATCCTCACTGGGTTTTGAAATGTTATAGAAGTCTTTGAAAATCTTCCACTACATGCAGTATATTTATTGTATTACTACTGAGTGTTTGGAAAGGCTGGTTGAGTAACTTGAGGTCTTTTGGGACAGAAAACAGAATGTCTATATTCCTCCTAGCAAATACTAATGCTCAGAGACATGCATTCGAAAAAGTTAGAATTATAGATCTTGATAGACAATGTAGGCAGGGCACAGTGGATCATACTGTAATTAGTTCATTTACGAGTATAAATATTTAATTTGGCAATTACCATCCACAGTTCTTTTTTTTTTAGATTGAGTATTTGTGAGAATTTTTGTTAGAATTATTTCTATTAAAAAGTAGCAGCTCTCTCAATTCCTTCAAGGAACATTGGCTTCTGAACATGGCAATATGTGTTTGATTCTACTCAGCTTCTGTGTAGGAAAATGAACTAACATACAAGGTGAGGGACACCAACCAACATATCATCCTTGTAGCCACAAACAATTTAGTCTGACAAACTAGGAAGACTTTCAGTTCTCTACAGTGATTTATCAGAGTTAGTCCTGTTTTGTAGTAAATCTTAAATCCCTTGGATACTTGACATTTCTTAAAAACAGAATGAGACTCCAGAAAAAAACATGTTGCGATCTTGCAGCCATAGAACTCCAATGAATTACCTGCACCCTCCTCCTGCCATTCCATCAGCCTGCATCTGTGTAGGCTTAGGTTCGGTCCCTTAATATAAGAGTTGAATTCTCCTGTTCTCCTCTCTAATTGTATTTGCGGATGACTGGCAATGTGTTACTTGAGTTGAATTTCAATTTATTTTTATTTTTTCACAGTGCCTTGAACCAGATGTTTTGTTACTAATAGCTGGTGGAGATTTAGAAGACCATCTCAGCGAAGAAGTATTTGAGAGAATTTCTCTTATTCTTCTCTACTACATTCTTCATCATAGAGATGTGTGTTCTTCAGAACTGAGCTTGAATAATAAGGATTATAAATTTTACTTACAGAGTATGCTTAGTTTAAGACATGATGAAGACTGTTATTATTTTTCACGGAATGAAACTGAAGATATTTTGGCTGCAGTAAGGCAGCATTTTAAAACTTCTGAAACCCAGGTAAAAAAACCATAAGTAAAAATAACTTCATATTTGTTACTGAAATAATGCCTTTAAGCTAGTTCAGACATTGTGTCAGTATCATGGTCCTCCAGAAAACTGGTAAATAACGGTGTGAGAGCAAAGGCTGAACATTGGTCTTTTGTTGTACATGCTGTTTAATACTAGCCTTCTCCTTGACTTGCTTTTGGCATGTGCTACCTAGCACTTCCACAGAATCCGCTGAGACATGGTTGGGGAGACGGAGCGTATTAGGGACGATTCCCAATAGGTAATTTAGATGCAGTTGCCCTGCTTAGGGCAGATGCAAAAGAGCATAGCTGTGTAGGTGCAAGATCTTGCACTTGGCTTCAAGAACAGAAAGTACTTTCTCATCGCTTGTATTTATTCGTATAGATATACTAGCAGTGATTGTATTTAAATAGTATAAAGCAGAACGGCTCCAAAACTGATCTGGCTGTATAGCAGAAATGATGAATCATTTTGCTGTGATGGGATCCTTGTCAGGCCCTGCACTTCCATGTCCATCCAAAGCAGGATGGAATAAGGAATCTGTCCAAAGGTATGATAGTTTCCTTCAGTTGGGACACATACATTTGTGACTAATTATCTACCAGCATGAATATGCCTTGTAGAAAGAGTGATACAGATAAGCTTAAAGTTTAAAAAAAAAAAGAAAAAAGCATATTGAGTATATTCAGCTAAAAACATTCTTTTTAAGTCAGGAAACGTGCAGCGAGTTTTCTCACCACTGTTTGTTATTCCTTATCTCAAGTAAGGTCTATAAAATAATATAATAATATTCTAGAGTTCATAATCTAAAGAAAAACTGTTTTCTTTGAAATGGGCAATAAAATAAGTTTTGCCAGATTAGATAACTCCTAAAGTACAGGTTGACCTGCTGTGAGAAGCCCCTTAGATCTATTCATAATATACAGTTAAATTTGGTTTATTGCAAAGTTTGAATTTGCCCTTTTCTGTTTCATTTAATTAGATTTTAATTTACACCATACTGTAGTAGAGTTTCCTACGCAAACAGAAGATGGCTAGGAGTCCTGGCTGTGCAGCAGAATGCTGAGGGCCTCCATTCCTCTTTCTGTTTTCTTTGTGTAATTGTTTCCCATCATAAATTATTCATTGAGCAGTACTTTTGGTTCTGAATCTTGGTTGAATGTGCCGATTTCCAAGAACTCCAGTGGTATCTGGGCAACTGTAAAGAGGCATCGGTGGGTATTTGACATGTCAAGGTAGAATAACAATCCATAAAGTGCTTTACTGTGTGGTCTGTTTGTTTATGCTGGCAGTATAATAGGTTGTCAAGCCTGTTCAGTAACTGAGACTTCACCGCTCACTGACATAAGGGAAAAGAGGGGTTTTTTTATGAAAAGTACTCAAAACGTTATAGACTATCTAATGCTTAGAATCACAACACTTGAGTTATGGAAAAGGGCCAATGATGCAGGGTAGTAATAGAAGAATAGCATTTTTAGTGGCTCTTTATATGTTTTGGTTTCACAGAAAATATCCTCTTCTTAGTCATAGCAGCTAATGTATTATTTTAAACGAGAGGTGACATTTCAGGTTGTGGAAATGCAAATATGTAATGGATGGACGGGAAAAGAAATACCAGCCTCCTCTCTGCAGTGTTTAAGGCATATATAGAGAGACATGAGTATGTGTAAAATAAATTATTACTGTACTGGCTCATCTAGTTGACTTTTCAATTTAGTTAATATAGAGACAAATGAACTCAAATAATTTTCTCCAATTTTTTTTTGTTTCTCTCAAACCCCAACTGTTTGCAGTGAAAGTAAACAAGAAAGGCAGAAATGGAAGAAAACAGGGATAAGTTTCCAGGTAATTGAGAGAGCTGTACCCTGCTCCCTCACTTCAGACCTGCACACATCCACACACATGGGTGTACGCGACTGTCTACTGCTCCTGTTTGGTCACCCAGCAGAGAAGTCACCCTTTATCTGCAGAATTATATCTTTCCATATTGTCCCCAGATAACTGCCCCATAACAAATTGTTGATTCCATTTAATAGATAGGGAACTAAACACATTAAGAGAACTGTCTCTGAAGTTTGAGATAAAGAGTTAAAGTCAGTATTATTTAAGTCAATTTCTTGTGCCTTAACAAAAATTCCTCCCTTTTCTGCCACTTTCTGGAAGTAGATGTAGATGCATTCGAGGAGGACACAGGAATAATAGAAACAGCATGAAAATAATGCTAAGCAAAAATAACCTGAATGAAGGACTATACTTCTCCTCTGTCAGACACTGAGTAAAATTTCAGGCTTTTTTATTCTCTGCCTGTTCTCCTGAAAATGTCCTCTGTTTCACATTAGCTGTCCTGCTGTCAATTACAGCTTTAATCTTAGTATTTTTTCTACCCTGGCTGTCTGTGAAAGTGTTCTCTCCAGTTTCTCCTCCTGTCACTCTGATTATTTAAATGGAGGTGACCAGGGCTGTCTTCATGCTGTTTTCTCCTGATTTCAGTGTGTTGATGTGAGTACTCTGGAAAAAAATGCTGATATAATGGACAGAGATGGTGCTGATGAAAACACTCTTCCACGCCTGGCTGCTTTAATCATTACTCTGGCTCTCCAAGGAGTCTGTATGGGGAAAGCAAGTTTGCCCTCCCCAGAATTCTTTATAAAATATATTTTCAATTCTCTAAACAGTACCACTGAGCTCGAAGTGACAGGTAAGCTATTTATTTGTCTCTAGTTGCCTTTTGCAACACACATTTGATGTAAACTCTCTTTAAATGCCTAAAGGACTTTTTGCACTTCATTTTAGATTTAAATCTCATTTCATTTTAGAGCTGTTAAGTAGTCTTTCCTAAATTTAAAAACAAGTTGGAAAATAAACTCCTTATTTTGATAACTCTCTGAGAGGTATAAAACAAATTGTTACTGTGATTATTAAATGTGTGCTGTCACATTAATTTATGACTTAATTGCTCAGCACAGTCTGAACTACCCAAGAGAGCTCTAAGAGTGGCAATCTAGCTGTGAGGGCAGAGTTCACTGGGGCCTCGTTTACATTGCTTCTTTATGCAGATCTTGATACATTGCAAGACTCATTTAGATGGGATAATTCATGTACGGTAGCCAGATTAGACACCTTAGTCACTCACACCTCAGTGTAGACGTACCCCCAGAAGAGATGAAATAGACACAGGCCAAATGCTCTCTGCTATCTGCCTAATGTACCCGAAAACATCTTTATGGTTTGTGCTTCCCTACCCACCTTCTGATCATAGTACCCAATCAGTGAGTCTGGAATATGCAAAGTTCATTTTCTTCAGGAGCTCTGTTGCTAGACATATCAGAAATGCTACTTAACCATAAATAAACAGAAGTATAGGAGAGTTTGAAGTGGTCCAAAAATGAAAAAAAAAAAGAAAACACAAGTGTTGAGCTCTCAGCAGCTGCTATTAAATGCTGTAAAAGATTTTGCATGCTTAGCAGTTTAAGAAGCTAAACCATCAACTCAGGGGCCTAGTATGGATTTAGAAGGTTATTATAAGACATCTACTTTTCCTAGTTTGTGGTAACTGCTCATAGCAACACTTTACAAGCTTTTCCAAGCACTTTTTAGAAGTTACATTAAGTATGGGTTAAAACAGCTTAAAAAGTTGAATTAAGCGTAGGTAAAAATATTTTTACCACTCTTAGCTTACACAGAGGTACATTGAATCACAGAAGTAAATAATAAAAAAGAAAGAACAAAATCCTCAGCCCTAAACTTGGACTCCTAGATTGTACTTACATAAACTGGTTTTGCAGCAAAACCCTTCCTTTAAAATTGCCACGCCAGATCTTCTAAAATAATTGACTCACAAGAATGGATGGAGCCATCTGGCACAGTGCTACTAAATAGATATATATGGTGAAATCCAGGCCCCAGTGAAGACAACAGCAAGACTTTACGGTTGGTGGAGTTAGGGTGTCATTCAGAGAAAGAAAAAAATATTCTTAACCAGTTTGTTACAGTTTAAGTATATTTTAAGCCTCAGCTAATTAAATTGTCCCTTTAAATTTATTTAAATTCTTAATAGTAACTGCAGGAAAGAGCAAAGAACAGGCAGCATGGAAAAAAAGAAAATTAGAGTTGACTACATTTAGAAGAAAGATCTAGCTTCAGCTCTGTTTGGATCTGTTTGCTCAAGACAAAGAAAGTAGATAAACATCACAAGTCTTTTTTAAGATTATACCATTTGCTTTTTATGAATAACAACATTAAAAAATAAAGGATTATCACATGGAAACATTCTTAATCTCATTGATATAAATTCCTTTGAAATTAATTTGTGGACTGCCTTTGTTTCCAATGGACAAACTCAGGTTTACAGAAACTATCACTATGGCTTCATCTTGAAAATGCAGGGCTGCAGGAAGGTGGTAAGTAAGATAGGATAGAGCATGCCCCTTCATATACCCAAGCATTTCGTCAGCAGGCCCACCCATTGCACTCAAGCTATGTCATGGGACACATCCTGTCTCAGGTTTGGATTAGGGATCCTGGCTCCCTCCTTCCTACTTCAGTACTGTAAACAGGCGTGCGTCCGGATTAACCAAAGGAGAGAGAAAATCTGCTGTCCTGTGTTCCATTTCTGATGTGCAAGGGCAGCATAGCATCCTGAAGATTGCTTTCAGGACACCCTATAAAAGATCTGTCTTCCTGATCTTTCTGGACTATCCAAATACCTGGCCATGGTGTTCCATTTATATGGGAACATTTGAGGAACAGTGAAGCTATTTAGCAGTAATTTGTAGCTAACTTTGTCAGAGATCGATGATTAAATGGAAGATGAATTGTCTTTCAGTCACATCTCTTTTCCTCTGAGATAGTCATAGGTAAAACATCTGAGTGCGGTACTGTAAAGAAAGAAAGGTTGAGTATATAGGTGTCTAGACCTTCTAGAGGTGTTAAGTGGAAATTACCTACAGTACCAAACTGAGGAGAGGAAAAAAATATTTAAAAAAGGAGTTGAATTAAAGTTAAAACTAACAAAATTGTAATAATTACTTTTGGTTTTATCTTTTATATGTGCATTTTCCCATGGTAACATATCTGTTTTCTAATTAATTACTAGAACTGCAAGAACTACTAAATGTGCTTACAGCCAGAAAGACCTGCACTGTAAATGGACAATTGCACAGTCACAAAAGAAGACGTTATAGTATGGCAATCAGAGATATTGGAACCAGAAACATTCCAGTCAAAGGAAACCATATAAAAGGAGGCTATCTGAAAGGTTATTTTGAAGATCATGAAAGGAGCACAGATTGGGACCAGGTTAATTTATTTTTATGTTATTATAGTATTGGTGACAGAATTTCAATGATGAAAGTTCAAATTGATTTGCAAACACTACATTATTTCTGAGGTAAAATTTATTAGTTTCAAAAAGTCATGTGGATACTGATAATATATTTTTATATAGTTATATTTGTATATAAGTTGGGGGAAGAACTTTATGGATGTTGAATGTGTGATTAAAGTAGCTGGGAGGAGCTAACAGAATAGTTAGTGTTACGCAGAACCAGGTGTTTCTTCATGACACAGAGGACTGTAGTACCATGGCTTCAATGTTTTCACACATTTATTAGAGATTTCTTGTGCTCTTATGTCACAGAGCTTCTAGGGCCCCTTAAGTGACCTTGTAGAAAGAAGGGTTGTTCTGTACTAAGGAAAAAAAGTAAATTAAGGTTTCTGTCTAAGTTGTTTTTAAAAGGCTTCTGTAACCTGAAGATTGGGCATTTCCAAACACTTTTAATAGCCATCCATGGAGTCCAGAAGCCTCTTTTAGAAAGGATAGAATCTGTAAGACAGAACTTTAGCTACTACACAGTGTCCTCTTTGAGGGCTTTGAAGGACAGTGGCTCATTGCAGGTGATTTTATCCTTATCCTAAATATTTGAAAATAAATAAATTTTGTTTATAACATTGATTAAGATGGTAGCTGACTTCCATCCTTTAGACTGGAAGACATTCCTTAGACAAAAAAGGAGACTTCAAAGTATATACTTTGTATATATTTTGACGAATACATTTGAAATATATACTTCAAAGAATATGTTTCTATTGTTTTCAGTTCTTTACAATTGAAGTTAACTCAATGTTTCTTCTGTGTGCAATTGACTTTTGCTGTGTGGTCATTTTATGATGTGGAACTGAGACAAATGGCATCTGGTTAAATGCCATTCTGATATATATTTATCCGTGTAATTTTATTGCATTTGGAATACATACTCTGCCAATATGTTTATTTCTTTCCATCTGACCACAAAAGAGAATCATGCTGATCAGCATGATGAGACATTTAATGGGGTCTCAAAATAATTTTAAATTAAGGTCATTTTGAATGTGTTTCATATTAATTTTCAATTATGAAGGACAGAAATCAGTAGTGATACTATCTGTACAATAAATAAAATTGTTCTCCAGCAATAGGAGAATTTATAAAACACAGTTTTTGATTTCTTGAACTTCTGAGACTGACTGTAACTCAAAAGATTAGTGTGCAGGGGAGTTATTTGAGGCTTGGGAGTCAAACTGAGAGCTAAATATTCTGTATAGATGAAAAAAATCACAAAGAAACATCTGGAGAGAAGAGAGTTTCTCTTCTGTATTAATTCCTAGTTTCTTGGTTTTATTCCACTCCTTTCTAGCTGCGTCTATTTTCTTTAACATACCATTCCATTAGAAGACTTTCAGTGTTGTGTTGCTAATTTTGTCTCCTGCTTTCTGCACATATCTATGATAGCCATTGTGCTCCATTAGTAACAGATGCTGCTACATATGAGGCATTGACTCGTTTATGGCTTGTGTTTGCTAACTACATTAAGATCTGTAATTTGATTTTTAGATAGGAATTATATTTTGAAACATTATCACAGAAAAAAGGTCACTGCTTTCTTTTTAAGTCATCATTGTCTCTGCTGATTTAAAAAATACATACAAATACATATAAAACAAAAAATACATAAAAAAGTAAGTAGCAGATGATCTAATACGAGCAATAATATTAAGTTCCATTAAACTATGTCACAATATCTATGTATTCATTTATTATTCCTCATTAAAGAAACATGGATTTTGGAAACCAAAATCATCCATCCATCCATATATACATCCATCCAGTTTTCCATATGAGAATATGCAAATTCAATTTACTTGTTTCTTCAGTATCGTCCTCAAGGAGTACACACATAGTTGCTTTACTAATAGAGACTTAGTACTCTGCCTCCCTATGTTAAAAAGCTTAAAAATCTAGGGCTTGCAACCGGAAAAGATACAGGTCCTCATGCCTCAAGTCTTACAAGAACATTTTACTAAATAAGCATTAAGAATTATTTTTTTATGTGTGGGTGGACAGTTTATTTTCCAGATGAGATCTTGCTTTTTCATTTAAAATTCCTGATAATAAAATCACATTAAAATTTAGGTTCATAGTAATCCTGGACCTCACCTTGTCTATCCTACTTCTCAAAACAGGGCCAACATCAAAGTCAGATCAAGTTTCACAGGGCCGTGTCCGGTTGAATTCTGAATGTCTCCAAAGACGGAGATCATACAGTCTTTCTGGGAAACCTGTACCAGGTTTATTGCCCTCGTTTTGGTGATTTTTTTTATCATAGCAAATTGGAATTTTTCCTGCTGCAACTAATGCCTATTGCATCTCATCCTTTTGCTGTACACCTCTGAGAAGACTCTGGCTCTGTTTTCCCTATAACCCTCATTAGATAGTTGAAGACTTAAGATACTCCCCAACCCTTCTCCAAACTGAACAAACCCAGGTACCTCAGCCTTTCTCTGCACATCATGTGCTGCGGTTCCCTAGCCGTCTTGGTGGCCCTCCATTGGACTTCCTCCAATTTGCCAATGTCTTTCTTGTACTGCTGGTTATTAAACTGGACGTAGTCCAGATGTGGAGTTGTGTCCTGAGCGGAGGGCAATAATCTTTTTCCACTACCTGTTGGCTACACTCTTGCCAATGCAGCCCAGTATGCAGTTAGCCTTCATTGCCACAAGGGCACACTGGTGACTCACGTTCAAGTTGTCTGTCAGGACCCCAAAGGCTTTTTCTGTAAAGCTACCTTCCAGTCAGTTTTTCTCAGCCTTTATTGATGCATGGGGTTATTCTGTTTGAAGCACAATAAATTTGTCTTTGCTGATCTTCGTGAAGGTCTTGTCAGCTCATTTCTTTGGGTTGTCAAGATCCCTCTAAATAGCAGCTGTGCCTGTCAGCATATCGACTACTTGTCCCACTTGAATTTCACCTGTGAATGCGATACGGTGCACTTTGTTCCATCATCAGGTCATTGGTGAAGGCATTAGATAGTATCAGTCCCTGTACTGACCAGTGAGGAATGCTGCTCATAACCAGCCATGAGCTAGTCTTCCAACTTGATACCATTTGTTGGTGTTCCCTACTTCTAGAGTCAAAACCACTGCCTAGAACAGGCAAACTGAAGGTCTTTTCCAATACGCTAGCTCCTGAATTGTCTTCATGCTCTCCTTCTGCTTGGAGGCAGAACAGACTAGATCCAGGTGGCAAGATCACCTGTTATCCTAAAGACTTGAATGTGGTATTCAGAATAAATGTATCAGTGCTCAATTCATTCAGTTTCTTAATGAGCTACAAGGCATATTTTAGTTTACTAATGGATGAACAAAGGCAGGAAGGTGTTGGGTTTTAATTGGGTTATTTAAGAGTAATGATAATTACAACTTCTTTATTTAAACAGTAATTTTCTTTCAAAAGAAACCTAAACTTCAGTGATTAGAAAAAGAATATTTAGGAATCCCTTGATTCTCAGATGCAGACTAATTTAAATGAAAGAAACAAATATTTATTTTTTAATTGAATCACAACTAATCAGATGAGATTAAGAAATTAATATTATTCCTTTAAGTATGATAGCATATTTGATCTAGAATTCTTCTTTTTAACAGTTCTTACAGAAATTGCAACTAGAACCGTTCTAACGCTAACTGCTCACGTTTTTACTAGAAGTTTCATCCTGGAGATGAAAAATCAATTCATGAAAATTTTTCAAAATATAAATGTTCCCAAGAAAAGTTCCTTTTTTGGACAAAGAGACATTTCTAACAAGAACAAAAAGTAGTTGAAATTCTTAAGTACCTCTAATAATACAATTATTAAGTAATCTTTAGACCAAATTTAGACTATGTAACATCTAGTTTGCTGACCTTAAAGTGACATGCCATTGTTAAAAGAATTAAAAAAACCAACTTAGTTCCATATCTTACTAAAGATGCAGCACAAGGACAAATTTCAGTACTTCCTTGATACAGACAGTATCTTACATTAATAGCAGTATTATTGCTATTAATGCAGTCTTACATTAATAGCTAAGAATATGATTTGTGTTAGCATTAAAATATTTTTATTAGCACATATGACAATAAAATATTTAGAGATATTATTGTGTCAGATCCTCATGATATTAACAGGCTTCAATAGAAATAGTATTACTTCATCCCAAAGATTCTGGTCTTTCTGAAATATATAGTAGCATCAAGTTTTAATTGGAAAAACAAAAAAAGGATTAGAAGTAATTGAAGTAATTAAAGTAATTTAACCAGAAAAGAGTATATGGAAAACAATTTTTTTCTAGGCTGTATAACCCTGTGTTCTTCTAAGATTCCATATTTAACCTCAGCATTAAATGCAGGTATATGCAACATATTCAGTAACTGTATATACTTTTCTACATAGGTTTGTTTCTCTGCCAATGAACTTGTGAAGATATTTTTAAAAAATAGTTCTTCTTCCATTTCTAAGGACCACTTCAAGCAAATCAGTCCAGCTATCATTCAGCAACTATTAAGTTGTTCATGTCAGCTTCCTGACTCCAAGCAGACAAAGCTTCCACCAACAACTCTGGAAAGTGAGTTATGTTGTTATCAGTAAAGTATTGTGAAAATTCAGATAAAGGGGTGCAGGGGCTTAACTTCTGGAGACATTTCATTCATTAATAAACTTAAACCAAAACATGATGAGATTTATGCACTCTCTTAGGCACTCTATGATTTCATAGCATACATGCCAGATAGTAGTACCATATTGAGAAGTGAGGGGATTCAATGGTCTCAATTTTATATTAGACAGAATTCTGTTTCAATGTGTAAGGTTTTAAGCTTTATTTTTTTCATTTCTTAGAGGACTGCTTGATGTAGGCAGCAGGTGAGCCATGACAGGTCTTTATCAGTGTTGTTTATCAGTGTTGCTAGGCGGTAATGACCTATTTGGTGAAATTTCCACCAGGTGTATACTGGAATAATTACATTGCTCTTACATATAGCCTCAAGGTTATGCTAGCTGGCATTTTACACCATGATGTGGCAATTGCTTGATATAGATAAGTTCTGTGTGAATGTTGCTGGTTTTTTGTGTTGTGATATTTTACAGAAGAGAAGCTTTGGGGATACTACTGTGGGAAGAAAAACAACCAGAAAACCAGTCACATGGGCAGCAGGACTTGTGTGATAGAGCTGGAACAAGAACTGAGTTAGAGTATAATCAGATTATTTCCCTTTGCAGTCGTAGCCCTCACATGCCATTGCTTCCAGGGATTTCTGCCCTATCTGTTCTGCTGATTCAACTTCTCCTGTAACCAATCCCTAGTCCACCCTATCAAAAAAAATCTGAATCTGATCTGACCTAAGGGCTTCTTAATGTGTTTCCTGGTTTTGTTTTTACTGTAAACCAGCAGTATCTGGGAAGTGGTTACAAACCTAGGTGTGCTGGTGTATTACAGGGGGCATTAATTTCTGCTGGGGGATTTGAGAGCCAGGAATGAACAAAAAGGAATGGGCATCTAACCATAATCACCTGCATCTAGAGCAGCACTTTTAGGCTACAAATCAATGCGTTCAATACCTTTATCCTAATATCTACATGGCCAGCTCTAGATGACTAGATCTTTTAGGAGCTAGTAAGCTTTCCCCACGTCCTGCTGGCCAACGATCCTTATGGAACAGCACTTTCCATCTCTAAATTCTATCTGTACTTTAAGCTACACACGTTAAGCAGCTTGTGGGAATGAGCTGAACTATCATTCCATGGTGTACAGATTAATTGAACAATGAGTGTGAATTAAAAAAACATGTTAGACAACAGCATGGAAGGACGCTCGTGGATATCCCAAGAATGGTTATAGAAAGAAACATACAGAATAGGAAGAATCATTATAGCTCCCCAGAAGGCAGCAGTTCTTTTTTCTTATGTTATCTCTCTTCTCATTACCTGAACACCTTGGAGTCTTTACTGCTTTTATCTTTTCTATGCTACACGGATATGCCCATTTTTCAGATGGGGAGTCAAGGGACAAAGAAAGAAAGGAACTTACCCAGGTCATATACAAGGTTCATGGCAAATCCACAGTTGAGTGAGACTCTCCCAAGTCTAAGGCCATCAGCCCAATCAACAATATTTTAATGATCTCATAAAGCTGAGAGATCTGTGTAGATGAGAAAAGCTGAACTATTCAAACATAGAATGGAATTAATAAGAGCCCTTTCTGCAGCCCTTTCCCTGTGCTTTGTGGCAAAGGAAGGTTTCCATGACTACAGGGACACTTCTGCTGGCTTGAGACAGACAAAGGACTTCATGTTTGACCTATGTGTGACCTAGTGACCTGAGCATAGGCTCATTAATTTTATTCTCAGTTCTATTTTACTGACAGGCTGTGCTGTTTTGGCTAAGTCACCAAAGCCTGACCTTCCATAAGTATCTACTATACCCTTGTATTTGGATGTGCAGTCTGTGAAATTTACTGTCTGATTTTATGAGGTGCTGAGCACTTGCAGTGCTATTAAAGTGTGAAACATTAAGTGACACTTTTGAATATTTTGGCATTAGTTCCTTTATGTCTGTTTCTCATCAGTGTTTTACCTCCATCATAAGACTTTCACACAGATTAGTCAGGATTCATGTTGTGCAAAAGGTTGGGAATGTGAGCAGCGTGTAACTCTGAAGAATTATAAGAGTAACCTTCCAAAAATCCCAGTAACCTGGGAAAAACAAGTTGGTGGTCCTGATGTAGTAACTAAAGGAGAGTATGTCCACAGCACATTTGCAAACATAATGTGGACCAAAAAGTTTATGCTTAGAACCTAAATTAGATGCCTACATTCATCTGAGGTTTTAGGCCTTGGTTTGTTTACCTAATATGATTTGGTTAATAATGTGGTGTTGACTTTAAAGATACAGAGGTGTGGCATGTGTGGACATACAATTACAAGCATAAATCTGTTAAGAGAGCAAACAAATGCAGACTAACATTCACTGTGCTGCTCTGAGTGTCTCTGATCTGCACACTCACAGTCTATTTAGCTCTTTAAGGTCTGAAATTTGTAAGCATTAGACTGTGTTACCTGCAAAGCCTGAAAAGGTGAATGTTTTTTAGGCTTCCAATTCTGGCATCTGTATCACACATGACTAGAAAAATCTATGTGGCACAATGAATCAGTTCTCCTCTGTGTGCTTGTACACAGAGGTGGCAAAACATAGCCTCAAAAACAAATACAAATACAAAACAAATACTCAAACACAAATAGAAATACTGAATGATTAAAGGTGCCCTTGTTTTGTTTCGTTTGTTACAGAATATGGTTACAGCACTGTTGCTGTTTTAATTATTACTATTGGATCTATGTTTGGTACAACCCTCATTTTATTTAACTCCTGTCAAGAAATCTATACACTCATTTTACAGCTGTTTGTTGGTTTGGCTGTTGGGACCCTTTCTGGAGATGCATTGCTACACCTTATTCCTCAGGTAGGTAATACACACTTTTGTGTTTTTAAAATGTTGACACATACACGCGCACATGCATACACACACATAGAGAAAAGTTTCATTTAAACCTGGCTAATGCTCATCTGTTTAGAAATAAAGCTTTCCATGAAATCTGTGAACCAACTACCTAGCATTCCAACTACATCTGCACTTCATAGTTCAGAGAGAGATTCCAGGTAGTAAGAAGCAGAAATCAATGAATGATGAATTCAGAGAAAATAAGGTTCCTATTTTCACAAAAAATTTTCAGAAAACCCACAAGTCCTGTGTGGCTAATGCTCATCTGTTTAGAAATAAAGCTTTCCATGAAATCTGTGAACCAACTACCTAGCATTCCAACTACATCTGCACTTCATAGTTCAGAGAGAGATTCCAGGTAGTAAGAAGCAGAAATCAATGAATGATGAATTCAGAGAAAATAAGGTTCCTATTTTCACAAAAAATTTTCAGAAAACCCACAAGTCCTGTGCA